CTTTATAACGCCCTATCTAGGCTAATTTCGAGTATGACAACGCCACATACGGTATACAAAGGTCCTACAAATTCATGCTGGCGGCATATCAAAAGTAATTTTTATCGTGAACTGCGCCTTTAACTGTGTCTATAGGAGAACACTTGATGTCATCGGATATTCACACATAGATTTCAAGGAAAGTGATGATGTTAATTATTTATATTACTCAGGAAATTGGCAACATAGAATCATGATTATAACATGTACAATACTGAGAAAATTATAACACTCCAATAGGAAATATTTGCATAACATCGAAAAGATAATAAAAACATCTCTTCCCGGTCAACGGTGGATACGTTTCAGTGAAGCTCATCGAAGAATCATTTGTACAAGAAATAGGCACGAACCTACTTATCTGTAATGATGGATTGATAAGGTACAGAACCTGTCGGATAAACTTAAAACGGAGATGCTAGCGTAAGTTGCACTTATGGCGACAACGGTAAAACTGCATGATAGGCGAGGACGAAGGGATAGAATGGAGGAAAGGGAACATTCTGGCTTTAAACAGAGAATCGGTTCATCACAGATTCGTCAAGGAATGTGTATCGATATAATATGCATTTGTATTTCATGCACGACCACGCCTTTAAAAAAAAGAGAAGGCATTGGTTCGTTACCCATGACAATCACTTCACGTAGTTAACAGTAAGAGAAGAGAAAACACTGACGCCTTGTTTCATTTGTCCATAGCTTAGGTAAATCACTGGAGCTAGTCCTCAATGAACGTCAGCAGAAGCTTACAAAGAAAACAAACAGNTTGCGAATAAGAGCTAAGGATATTGACCGATACTTATTACAAGATATTGTTGAAAAAAAACGAAAGCTTGATGTGAAGATCAGCAAATTAAGGGACATTCGAAGGCTGATAGGCATGAGCAGTCTGGGGTATGCGTCCTTCTCAGGACGAACAGACACCCATTTTTGGCAACTGAGTCAATCGTCGCTTGGCCAACGCCGAAGCGTTAACTGGACGGAGGTTGACGGAACTGGTCGTTGTTAGCGCTCGATAGGTTTGCTCAAGAGCTCCCTAAAATCAGCAGAAGGTCCGTATCAGTTCTATAGAGATTAAGTAGCGTTGAACCTTACCTTGACCGATTCTACGTTGTACACATTATTTACAATTGTGGTAGCTGGGATACTGTTTCTGTGAGTAATCCAAGGGTGTTGGAGGATTTGCTTCGCAGTAGGACGCCGCGACGCATCCACATCCAGTAGCTTACGCACGAGATCCTGGAAGTGACAGATTCAGTACGGAAAACCACATTCTACACGGCTGCATTTGGATGCAATAAATATATAGGTAAATCAGGAAACAAGCCCTCATTACCAGTGTCCCCTAACTTTCCCACTGACGCCTACTCTCCCATACAGGATCCGACAAATTTCTCTTCGAATTGAAGACTGAACTTATGATTTTTTTCAAAATGCTGCCGAACCGATATGATAGTCTAATACCTTCGCGTTATCGCTGATGTCCTCCCATGCCTTGCCCTCCATCGTGACGCGACCTTCGTCGACGCGTTTCAGGATCTCGTCAGCTGGATCGTTGGGTCCCATAGCGAAGGGTGTTTGGCCGGATAACATCGCGTACAGTAAGACACCCAGTGACCATACATCACATGACCTATCATATCCTTGGCGCTTCAGTATTTCCGGAGCAACCTGAAATTAAGTATACAATCTAGAATAGAGACAGGTTTCTCTGCATTACTCGGTTGCCCCTTCAGTAATCTTTTGCTGTATTTGGTTATATGCGGATCCTTAAATGGATTTCTCAATGAGAAGACTAGTTCTACGGTTGAGCACCTCAACAAGAAATCTCCCGCACGTCTATTGACTGGCTTAGCGTGAATTGAAATTTTCAAATCTTTTTACCCCATGCATGCAATTATATCTGAGTATCTTACTGACAATGAGACATCTTAAACTTACGAATTGAGCGGTGTAACAGGGTGTCATGAGCATGCCGTTTTCGGCTCGAGACTGTTTGGCGAAACCAAAGTCGATGATACGTAGCGAATCCGATTCACAACTACTGGACGCGTACATGATGTTCGACGGTTTCAGATCACGATGAGCCACCTTAATGGGATTTGTGAGTGAGAAGATGAACGTCACCGGAGAAGGAAGTAGTTAATGCTTACCTGGTTGGAGTGCAAGTAGTAAACAGCGTTTGCGAGATTTGCCATCGATGTCGCTGCTTCACGTTCCGTAAATGTTTTCTTCGATAAAATCCTGTAATAATCTTCCATTCAGAACCTTAATAGCAAATAAGGAAACGATTTCTGAAAGTCTGTTAATTTCTCTGTGTGTGTTAGTGTGGGTGTATCGGTGTGAAATTCATAACTCCCATTCATAACACCACAGAGTCTTAGGATTTCTAATTCCAACTGAACATTTCAGACCCAGTCTTTAGGAGCATAAATCATCGCCAAATGAAAAGGTTCTGAACCGATAATCATAACGTCATTTCTAACGACAAATCTTGAAATGGTATAAACTCGATTGGAGATTCACNAAGTTCGCCTTTCGCCTTCGTCAACGTGATTGCTACTTGCGCCCTTATGAATAGTACACGAATGGGACATTTTCAAATTTGTAAATCAGTGCTTTTATCCTTTTCAAAAGATAAAAGCACTGATTTGTACATCAGCTGACCACCGCAAGTCATTGTGTAGACTACATACGCCCTTATTGCGCCACTACGATTCTGAACGGGAGTCGAGGGCGGGAGCGCATCCCTCAGACGGGATTGGTTAATGCCAGGACTTTATCCTTTATCCCACCATGAATTTGGTGGCTGCATATCCATGTGGTCAGCATGTATCATACTGACCACTTATACATCCACAGTCTCAATCCTTAACATAATTTCGGCTTGAAAGCAACTCAAACTTATTGTTAGGCGATGCGATTATTGATCCTGAACAAGTATGTGGCGAAAGTCCTACCAGCCACATAACATGTGCGCCGTTGTTTGCAAAATTAAGGAATTACATTCACTGGCTATTCAGATCGATTGGCCCCTAATCGTGATCATCGATAGCCTGGAAGACGTAGTGGAGGTAAACCGTATACTAGCGAATTGGTGACCACAACAACCTTTCATCATTTGACTACTGCGCCAGAATTGAAGGTTTCCGAGGTCTTATCACCCGGAACCCGGACAATTGATACCACATGAACGTAACCTCCCAACCACCTAAAGGACAGCTTTATGTCTGTCTCCCTCATTACAACGGAGACTCAACTATTTCAATACACTTATCACTGGATATTAGAAAACGAGCATGGTCGAATTCCCATGTTGAAGTCCAATCAGCACCCAGGAAAAGTAAAGCTTTCCAGTCAAAGGCACAGGTAATACTGCGAACCACTACCTCAGAGATAGGTATGATGATGATAAGGTATGTCGGACAACATTGGAGCCACAGCGAAGTTGGCGCAAGGCGAGTGGAACACTATAGATCAGTGATTCCTAAGCCTGTTATTAGCCTGAATGTTGCTCCCATACTGGCTCTTCAGCCTCTCTGACGTCATATGGAAACAAGTTTAATACAGAAGCGGAGATCAGGAGGGCATTTAGCGGATATTAAGAGCCCATCCGCCATCATTTGGGGAAGATTCTTTACTCTCTATAACACATCACGTCTGCCTGTCTGTCTCTCTATCTGTCTGTTTGTCACGAAATTCGATTTTACTTGTAGAAGTACTTAGAGCGATAGAGTCAAGTTTGAGATAGGTCATCCCGGCCTTCGATCTTGTCCAATTCGTTTAATTTGTACCCATCGCGTGAAATTATAGAAGCGCTGTCTTTCGTCGATTGGGGAGAAAAGGGGCTAAAAATGGGATTGATGTAAGGCAAAAAACTTTATGCTCATCTTTTTCTTCTAATGCGAGTGAGAAAGCAACAATCCCTTTTGATTACACTGCTAAAACTCGAAGTCGCTCCATCAGATTGATCAAACGCAATTGATTTTTATCCAAGCCTTTTAAAATATCGAGTTTCATTTCGACCACGGAAAGTCATGGGAACGGAATCCATATAGCAAAAACATTGTGAAATTTATCATCATTTCCTCTGATGATATTCAGAGAACTTCCACTGTCACGGTTCTATCCCTTCAAGTTACTTATGAGGGTTCATGAACACGGAAGATAGGAGAAGTATCTTTCTCATGAATGCGATAATCAACATAATGTAGGGATTGAAACTTTGTAGCTGATCCCGTCTTTGGATACGCCCCGCCCCTCCTCTCCCTGCCCTCCTACCCCTACCCACACTTCCATCCGAGTACCATTCAAAGCAAAAGTGGAGCTTTAAATTCGTAAGCGGCCTATACATACAGTGGCTTGCAGTGGGCAGCCGAGTACAAGCCAACACTTGGTTAGCTGGGGCAGGCCCAGATTCCGAGATACCGGATCGATAACATTCACGGCCGAGTAGAAAGACCCTTCCTGTTAAAAACCCTCGTCTTGACCCCAGAATGCCACCCTATTTCAACGAAGAGGATGACACGAATGAAGGAGAACAGGCCCATAAAGTCGCTTTGAAACGCCCCTTACATGCGAGTCGCACTCGAAATTCTAATGGCATGGATACGTACGTTCCTCAACTATTCAATGAACTGCGGAGCCTTAGCCAAAATTTCTCTTCCGAACACACTAGGCGCCAATGAACGCCCCTAGCAGAATGGCAGGTTGATTAGCCAGGATTCCGCCTGCTACTTGACTTCTTATTTTGCCAATTTGCCAATCGGTCAATAATTCAATAACCCACCTGTCAAGCATTTCACCACCACGACAGTACTCCAGTACGAGGTTTACGTGTGCTTCATCTTCGTAGACATCGAACAGCTTTACAATGTGTGGGTGATGTCCATGACGGAGAAGAATATCAACCTCTTCGGATGGATCACAAACTGCTTTCTTGATGATCTGAAAATGCCCGAAGAATTAGTCCCCAATCAATGATTGTTGCCGTGGAGAAGTAACATACTGATCAAATTAACTCTGACCTTGACGACGAACTCGCGTTTCGTCGTTTTCATTATGCAGCGTCGAACAATCGAGAACGTTCCGGTTCCGACTTCCTGAAAAAAATCTCAATCCGCAAAGCACCTCGTTCAACACGATCAGACCCAAACTATGAGATTCCACTCCAAAACATAAACGGCAGTCTCCATCAAGCCACAGGGAAACTTCTCTGAGGATAGAAAGACCACTAGGAACGGCGAAATACATCGTGCCGCCCTGTAGTGTCCCTTTAACATGGGGACCCTTCGTCCCGAAGAATGGTAATGCCTCCTACCACGATAAATTAGCCTCGGGCATCCAGTTTAGGGATAATTCACCTCGGAGGGACCAATAACAGGAGATCTATTTCGTGGGATATGGGATCGGAGCAATAATCCCTCTGATCGGGTTACATCGAGGACGACGACCTTCGAACTTGATCATTGAACGTTACAAGGGTGTTGTAAAAGCGCGACCCTCTTCCGAGCAATCAGCTGTCCCTTACAACTGCACGACGAAAGAAATGCCATGCGAAGGAGCCGATCCTCCCTCCTCTGCGGTCCAAGGTCATCTATTACAAGATAACAATCAGATGACTTACCCTTTTCTTCACATCAAATCAAGCCCGTGTGATATCCGTTAGGTCAAACCCTATTATGAAAAGATAAGTCCCTTTCCTTTCGATCCCTTCATTTGTTGGAGATGAGGTACTCTACCGAGCTCTTCGTCGACTACAGATCACCAATCCCATCACGGACGCCGAGAACTCGGAATCGGATATCTGGATCTTCTAGTCGTAAATCTCTTTCAGTCATGGTTTTGGAAATTATGCTTTGAGCACTCACCTCTTTCAGGATGTAGTCATCGGTGATGGGATGTGTTTTTGCTGTGGGAATCGTTCGGATTTTCTTGTCCTCCTTCTTTTCATCTACCACAGCTGGGGAAACAAAAGAGAAGCCACGGAAGAGCTCATGAGCGGCTGCTGATGGAGGAATTGCAGGCGAATCTAAATAAGTCAAATAAAAGTAAATACAAATCTAGCAAATGAACTCGCATAAGCTTCATGCTTGACTACAGCTTTGTCGCGCATTTAGGCACAACAAATCATCTTATTTCCAATTAATTCGGTCACATATTTACAACTGTGAATTATTTACTACTAGGAATGTTTAGAAAACAACATCGGTTCCCATAGCGCTCATTTGTTAGCTATTGTCTCGGGATCGAATTTTTATTAATAATATGCACCTCAGTATTCCATTATGGACGAAAAACCGGCTGTTGAACACCGCCCGTCGGAATCATGTAAGAGGGATGGTGGGAGTGAGATTGCCTAGTTCACCCTCAAAAGTATCAGTCTAAAAGGACCAACGCAGTTAGTGCTTCTCATCCATGGCTCAAGGTGCCGTTGGTAGGCCGTTTGCGCTATCATTACTACCAAATAACGTCATCGCGATGAAGTGTGTCCTGTCAGTATGCATTGGCAACGTGCTTCCGAATTCTCTCCTCTTTACAGTGTAATTATTCTCCTGCAGAGGAGAACGCAGTAACTATTGATTGTTCATTAACACTATCAGTCGATACGCATCGCTATCGATCGGATGGAAAAGCTGAAGCGAAGTACATGTGTACCTGTGTTGTAATATATGTTGTGAAAGCGCTATGAGTGATAACGCTACCCTTGGAGCTTGTTCCTTCCATAGGAGTTTTTTTCAACTGCATGCTTCTTGCACCTTTTTTTTACATGAGCTATGTGGACACGGTGGCGTGCTTGCAAACTTGTTGTCGTTGGGGTTTTGGATAGGTTGGCCGCAAACAGCCTACATACCGTCATAGTATCTCTTAAAAGTTGTGCCAGTAGTAAAAGCTTTTCAGGTGGTCCGCACGTAGATCATTAAATATAAAATTAAAGTTATTGGCGTTAATCAATCCCGTCTGAGGGATGCGCNCTCCTCTTTACAGTGTAATTATTCTCCTGCAGAGGAGAGCGCAGTAATTATTGATTGTTCATTAACACTATCATTCGATACGCATCACTATCGATCAGATGGAAAAGCTGAAGCGAAGTACATATGTACCTGTGTTGTAATATATGTTGTGAAAGCGCTATGAGTGATAACGCTGCCCTTGGAGCTTGTTCCTTCCATAGGAGTTTTTTTCAACTGCATGCTTCTTGCACCTTTTTTTT